ATCTCAAGTTTACATAATATCAATATATATAATGAAGAAGTAAAACCAAATTCCCAACAATAAGTTATTTCCAACCATAAACCATTCCCAACAAGTTCTTGTAATAAACCATTTCCACAACAATGAACAATAGCCCACAATTTGTACCATTACCCACAATGTATCTCAGGTATGATGTGTGATGCCCAAAAAAATGGGGGGACCCGTTGACGACCCGTCAACCAGCGAAAATGCCTGTGAATGCCGCTAATCCAACATCATGCTAATAGTGTCCCTTTAACTGGGATTTTAACCCACACGTGTTACCCGTGTTCCTTTAATCATTTAATTTAACCGTGGCTCAAGGTACCACAATTCATGCCTCTTTATTGCCCAATTACATCTTTTGAACCAAATGAATCAAAGGTCGAGAGCACAACACTTATACTTTAAATTTTAAATTTTAGGAGACAGTATCGGTACTGTATACCGATACGGTTTGCCTTCTGGACAGATAGTACCAGTACACAGCACTGGTACACTTTTCCTTTTGGACATACAGTACTTGTACACTTTGCCCTCCTTTGCCTGTTTCACCTGTTTTTCATTTTAAAACCATTCCAAACCATCTCATTTTCATCCATAACAAATATAATGAAGTTTGCTATATAAAACTTCATTTACACAAGTCCATTACAATTTATTTACATAAATTTACATGCCCAAAACATGCTTTTATCAAAGCATTACAACATTCAAGGTTAAAGGCCACAAGTCGGCCTATCTTCACCCTTGAGGACTTGAATGCGAGTCCTCCACCAGTATAAACCCCGCACTTGAAATGTGTTCCCGTATAGGGTGAGCCAACGCCCAGTAGAATATTTCCTACAGAGGTTACTCCCTTTCTAGATGCATATGCAATGTTTATGTGCAACACTTAACCATCATTTCCCATTCCAACAAGAACATGTAATTCAATGTTGAAAAATCATAATGCCATGCCATGAAATGAGATGAGACTCACTCATGCACCCTGACCCGAGTCCACACAGACTCCCACAATACAATGCGATGCATGTGTGTCATAAATCAATCATTGGTGAAACACATCCAATGATCTTTTGAAATAAAATTCATGTGTTTTGAAAACTATTTCATTGTTGGATGTCTCCCATCAAATGAACATTTATATAACAAAATCATGTGTATTTGTTGGGTATCGAATTTTGGAATCACACTGCTGACTCCGTACGCCATTACACTTTTCTAGAATTTCACCTCAGGGGAGTGTATGAACCAAGTAGCTGGGCCTTTCACCAGAGGGAGTGTCTAGCCCTTCTTGCTATACCCGACACAAGTTTTTCTTTCATGCAACCATGCGACTCAGTCAGATATTTCATCCAACTTTTTCCAAGCCCATCACCAATCACTAAGTATGATGATTATACCAACATTTATATCCAATTAATTCACAAGTATGCTACCACATAATCCATGTCAATAACACACTTAAATTACAAGGCACATTATAAACATATAGCATGCCCACATAAAACCCAATTTCGTGGAATTTCACAAGCACTTCCATATAACCAAATCAAGCTAGAAATTGGTCTAGGCCATTTCTATACCCCTTTTTCTAATTTCCATGACTATAGGTAGTCATAAGTCATCCCATACATATAACCATTACATATGGACACCATAGGATAAAAATTAATCAAAAGAGGAGGAAACCCTACCTCTTGGAGCGTGATACGAAACGTAGAAAGCTTCTAGGCACCTCCCTAGTCCCAAAAACCTTGATTTCCCAAAATTCTTCTTCGGATCTTCAGTGAAATTCCTCGTTCATGGTATGTACGCGTAACCCTCGTCGCATAAACCAATTTAATTATTGGTCCAAGCGATTCCGACCAATAGAACTCCTTGGATGAAGAAAGAAATGTAGAAATCTAGGTTTTCTCTCTTCTCTCTCTTCTCTTCTCTTCAACGTGTGAGATCAGCTGACTTAGGGGGTGAAAATATCTTATTTTTCAGATATTTAACCCCTATTTATACTTTTAATTATGCGGTCCATATTGCCCCGCACGTTTATTACTTTTCGGGTTCGTTTTTAACCCAAAATAATTTAATTAATTTTTTATTTTAGTTCAAATTAATTTTATTTGAACTTTTATCTAATTATAAGGAAATTTTATAATTTTTTTTGGGGACCTTTGTGAGGTCATTCGTCACCCAATTGTCTCGTAAAACGTACAAAATTCGACTATCTCAGAATTCGATAAAAATTGACATGATAGCTCGATTTTGTGATACGAATTCAACAGTGAGGTCTGTTGCATCATTTGAGCTCTAGAAAAATATAAATTTTAAACCCGCATTATAGTGATAAATTACAATTTTACCATTTTTTTTGAAAAAGTTCAAATTTACCTAGGTTTTACATGATATATGACATCGCATGAATAAACACATCGAGAATATCTTGGTCCACACACACACACACCCAATCTTGCAAGGATATACAACTTTAGGAAGGGCGTATACCGACGCATCGGTAGGGATGATCCAACCTAGGAATAATAACTAACTCTCAGCCTCGATCCTATATGAACGAATAGTATTTTGGTCCTCACAAAACACTAACCCCATTACGAGTGGTGGGGAACCTTTAAACCCACACAGAGTTAGAAACACATCTACCCACTCTACGATATCCGGTTAACGACCACCCATGTTCAGCCAAACATCCACACAAGAGATACAATACCAACCAATTTCTCAAACCACAAGTAAATCAAAAATCCCCATTTTTATAGGTATTTTTTTTCAATGGAGCAATTCAAGAGAACATCAAACATATATTTTTTTAGTGTTCAAACAAAGCACTAGAGTTTTGAAATCAAGAACAAAGGAATATCAAGAAGAAAACCCAGGGCATGTTTGGTTTGTATCTCAGAAAATAGTATCTGAAAATAGTTTTTGGAAAGAGTTTTAGAGAAGTGTGTTTTTGTGTTTTCTGAGACGAAAAACTTGTTTGGTTATATGATTTAAAAAACAGTTTTACAGAACAAAAAATAATAAAACCTATTTGGATAGTAACGCAGAAAACAATGAAAACAGAAATGCTGTTTGGATTGACTGTTTGATATACAATGTTTTCAAATTATTAACTTGATAAAAACTAACATAAATCATACTATAGTAAAAAAATTCATTTGTAAACATACACAAATATACTTATCGAAGTGAATACTTATCGTACACATAGTATCATAATACACGTTCTAATATAATACACACCATTATTCATTCTAATATATATATTATTATTATTTTCTTTATTTCCACTTCACTTTCAACTATTATTTTCTTTCTAATCAAACTAACAAAGGTGTCTAATGCAGTCCAAGAAACTGTGAAAAAATGCGAAGAGAAAATAACAATAATAATCATGAAAATGCCATGGAGGGACCAAATCCTAGTGATCTCTCATACCCTGTGCTTTCCTTACTTGAACATACCCCACATACCTACGCTGCTATGTTGGGAACCAAGGAAAAGAATGAGCCTACTTCAACCTTGAAGTCTCTGAAATAATACTCGTGGGTTGATGATCCATTTAAGAGGCCACATAATGGAAATCAAGATATCATCTATGCAGAACCAGAGATTACAAGTGATGCAATTCAAAAACACTCCATGATCTCCTTTATGACAAAATAGTAGCAACATGCCACGACTCACATGAATGGCCAAAAGAAATTGAAACATCAAAAGCAACGTCAATGTAGCTCCAGGGAAAAAGTGCCCATGAAACAGTTGATCAAACAAGAGAGAGTAACAAAACACAAGCAAATACGAAAGTTATGAGAGGAAAACTACAACTGGAAAGGAAAACAAGACTTTTACTTCAAGAATGCTTGGTGACAGTCAACCTCCAAAAGCTATAATATAATGCCAATCCTTTCTACTCTAAAATTCCAGCTTGTTTGTAGCTTTCAACAGAATCCACCAGAGTTTCTTCAACTGCCTTGTAACTCTAACCCAACTTCTGCAATTTCTCTGAACTCAGTTCGTCACCTTCATTTCCCTCGATAAAATTGCCAATAAATGAAACAAATAAGACAAACCAACATAAACAAGCAAACATCTCACCGAAGATCAAACCAGAATAATACTTAAACCATCCAAAGGGACTGGGCGACCTTAATCAAACAATTGCCAAAACACCAAGTCAACAGACATGAGCAGGAAGATAAAAAAACTGACTCCTCCCATTATGCAGACAGTCATCAGCTTAACCACTGCCAATACAAGCCTATCATCACCTCATCCCTAGCTAAGCACCTTTCAACAACCTATGAAACAGCTGAGCAAAACACAAACTGCCTGCAAATAGCCCAAACCTGAACCTGCATCCTCCAGCTGCTAAATTTCAACTACTGCTAATAGTAGTCAAGCAAAAGACCACCTTCCATCAAATACCATCAACATTCAGTTTCAACATGGACCCAGGAGGAGGATCCCATTTTATCCACATAACACTAGTCATAATAGAACATCACACATAAATATATATTTTTTATTTTTTTTTTGAACTTTATTTTTTAGAAACATAAAAATTTTATTGCATGAAAATCAAAAATTACAAGAAGCAAAAACTGAAACTGTTTAAGCAAAACAGTAACAGTTAAACAAACAACACAGTAACTGTACATAAAACAAAAAAAAAATGTTATTCACAATATGTCATGTACAACAACTATTTTGCAGCTCCTGCTCTAACTGATCACTGCAGCTTCAGACCAGTTCCTCTTCCAGAAGCTGACCAACAACATTCAATAATAGCAGCTCAGCAGAAAGAAGACATCATCAACAAACCTCCAGCTGCTAACTGGCATTACTTCCTTTAACCCCATAGTACTGCACTTGCACCTTTGGTCAGCTCAACTCACAAGAGCACAACATGAGCAAAACACAACACAACATCACACAGCTAGAACAGTTATGCAGAAGCAATGCAGATTAGTAAAAACAAAAAGGCCATCCTCATCATGCAAGGCTGTAGCAAAATAGCACAAATAACCCAACAACCATCCAATACTAACTGCCCAACAGCAGTGCAGCAAAGAACACAGCAGAGCCAGATCATAAGAGCTCAAAGCCATAAAGCTACAATTTCTTCATGGCTTCCTAGCTTGAAACTTGGTGGGTTTGCAATTTGACTAATATAATAAATTCAGGTCACTATCATTTACATACACACAACCATATCATTTACACACACACACACACACAATCATTTACACTTGGTATCACAATTTGTTGTTATAATTCGTTGTTAGACTAGATAAATGAATTCGAGAATACCAGCGTGCTAATTAATTGCTCATTCTTTTCAAACAAAGATAAACTTGACCAAATATGATTCTATTTTCCAGAACAGTAGAGCTTGTGGAAGTAGTTTTGCAGGGAAGGAATGGGTCAGTCTTCTACTATGGTGAAACCGAAGCTAGGAAGATGTACACAATGCTTGGTACAGTGGAGAGTCCAGGGGTGATGGTTTGGCAAAAAAAGATCTTTTCAACAAAATACTTAAACCAAAAAATACTTTTTTAAAAAAAAAAGCCTAGATTTGTTACTGAAAATAGCAGAGTAGAAGACTCACCGAAGTTGTTAGGCAGAAAAAAAAAACCAGAGTCACTGGAGTTGTTACCGAAAATAGCAGAGTACTAGATCTATTATCAAAAATAGCAGAGTATTAGATCTATTATCGAAAAAAAACCAGATCTATCACTGGTATATCAAACGAGCAAAGTCACCGGAGATCTGATATACTGGAACATCTTAATCGGTTCATTGGAGTTGTTAGACAACATATTTGTCATAGATCTGAAGGTAAAAATGAAAAAAGCAAACAAATCTAAAAAATTAAAAAATCAATGCAAAAAAAAAAACAGATCTATGGGTTACCTGTCGCCAGAGAAACGCTTGTGATTTGCTGGAGTAACGTCATTGATTTACTGGATGTGGCGTTTGTTCTTCACCAGAGCTCAAGTGAAGTGAAGAAGATGGCTGAGTAGGACAAATGACGGGAGAGGCTGAAAAAAAAGGCACATTTTATACTTAGTCCATTAATGAATAGTACTATTTACTCCATGTTTTCAAAATCTCCAAGAAAATTTTTAGAAAACAACTATGGCTTGTTCATGGTTTTTGTGTTTCAAATCTCATTTTTTTTTTTGAAAATTTTGAGAACAAAAATGCTAAACAAACAGGTTTTAGATGTTTTTAAAATTTTGAGAACAAAAAATTATTTTTCAGTTGCTAACCAAACATGGCCCCATTTTCCTAAAAAAAAACTAGGTTTTGACATCAAGAACATGAATTTTTATGGCTATCAAACCATAACTTCCTTCAAAACATGTTAAGGTTTGCAAGAACATCAAGAAACAAGAATTCTATAACAAATATCTATGATTTAGAGTCATATATATATATATATATATACCCTAAGCTCAATGAACAAGAGTGAGAAGAAACCTCTACCTTGTTTCCTTAGCTTTTAAGTGAGAACTAGAAGATTTGATCTTTCCCAACTTGAATCAACACTTGAATCTCTTTTTTTTTCCCCTTCTTTCTTTCTCTTTAAGCCTCTATAGGGTTAGAAATGTTGAAATGGGGCTAATGGAGGTGTCCTTATGTATTTATAGGAGGGGAAATGGTCCCATGTGCGCAAATCTAAAACTTAGAATTCGTAACTCACGTTCGAACATCAGTAGTGCAATTTCTTGCTTCACATTCAAACGTCATTTGGTGTTTGAATGTTAACTGTTCTCAGTACTTTTACTTTTCCATCAAAGTTCTATCAGACACAAAAGTACTATGACAAACTGTTGTTCGAACGTCCATTCACGTTTGAACGGATTGTAAGACCCTGTATTAAAATTAAATAAGAATAATATTATTTTAATAGTTCCTCTAAGATTAAGAAGATGATGGTAGAAACCTTGAATCATTTTTAAAGAGTGATCATGAAATTTGAGTTTCGAACGAATTGACTTTAGGGTCAAACTTAGTTTCGAAGGTGTGTTAGCTTAAGAAGGGTGATCAGATAAGTTTTCAAATGCTTTCAGGTCAACATAATGCCTCCATTGAATTTGAAAGGTTGAAAAACATTGGGAGAGATAATATAGGGTGTATTAGAAGTTAGGAAGTATTTTAAAGTTAAAACCTATTTTGGAAAGGATTTGGGTAGAAAAGAATTTGATACTACCTTAGTATTTTGACTATAACTTTCTACTCCTAACTTTGATTGATTTTTTTTTTTTGGACATCAGAAACTAGACTTCAAGGGATACAAAAGGGTATTTCACAAAAATTTTCCAAATCGACCGCCAAATAGGCCAAAATCGCACTGAAAATTTCAGCAGACAAAGTGTACTGGTACAACGTACTGGTACTTCGAACTCCAGAAGCTAAATAGTACCGATACGCTCTGTAAAATCCAGTTCGACCCGATTTCGGGTTTTGTCTCTGTTTCTCACCCTATAAATACATTAGGACGCCTTCTTTAACCCCATTTCACCACTTCCAACCCTAGGAAGCTTTAGAGAGAAAGAGAAAAAGAGAAAAACCACAAGATAAAAAGGAAAAAATCAGAGATTTAAGGGTTGATTCAAGATCAAAATCTTAGTTCTTCAAGAACACCAAGGTAGGGGTTTTCTTCCATTCTTATCCATTGATGCTAGGGCTAATATATATGTTTGTTTTGACTCCTAATCTTATGTGTTTGCTATGGGTTCTTTGTTTCTTGGTCTTCTTGCAATTATTATCATGTTTTAAACAAAGTTAGAGTTGAATACCCATGAAATATCTCTTTCTTGATTTAAAACCCTAGTTTTCAAGAGTGATGGATTTTCCTTTTGATTCTTCCTTGGTTCTTGATTTCAAAACCTTAGTGCTTTGTGTGGAGTAATAAAATGATATTGATGATGATCTCTTGCATTTTCTTTAATGTTCTATTGAAATGATACATGTGAACATTTGGAGATTGTTTAAATTACTTGTGCTCTTGGAAATACCCATGGAATTGGAGGTTTTGAAAATTGTTTGTTATTGATGGAATTGTTGGTATTGTATCTCTTGTGTGGTTGTTTGAATAAACATGGGCTACGATTGACCGAGTCTCATGGAGTGGGTAGACGTCTTTTTACTTCGTGCGGGTTTGGACATATCCTAGCACTCGTAGTGGGGTTGGTGTCTTGCGAGGATCAAACCACTATTAGCTCACAGGTGCTGTGTCAGAGGATTAGTATACTAATGCCTGGGTTGAATTCGTCACTGCCATTGTGTTGGCACACGTCCTTCCCAAAGGTTGGATATCTTTGCGAGGATTTGTGTTTGTGGTATGTGGGACATGATGCTTTCGATGGTGACCATGCTAGATCTTACTTCATACCTGAGATACGAATACAGTGGTGAGTTATTGTTCATTGTACCAGAAATGGTTTCTACAAGAATCTTGGGAATTATGAGATTCTGCAAGAACTTGGGAGAAACGATTTATGGTGGAATGAGTTACTAGTTGTATATTGGTTTCACTTATGCATTAAATTACTGTTGTTGCTTAAACTTGAAATTTGTTTAAATATTCCTGTTTTATTTCAAAAATTCATATATACTATTTGTGAAAGGTGACCGACTGATTTTATATACTTTTCTAAATCTTGTTCGAGTTTGGGAGGATTTTTTTCCTACTGAGCTTAGTGCTCACCCCCTACAAACAAATATTTCTCAGATTATATCCGAGACGAGGATCTTGGAGGCGATGAGCAGGTATCTTATGAGACTTTGATAGAAGGGAACATGGATTCCGAGGTGGACGCCTAGAGCGACTTTACCTTTTTGTTCTAGACTCGATAATTCATTTTGAAACATTGTGAAGTTTAGCTTTCTTTTGTTATTCCGCTGCACTATAATAGTTAAATTTTTGAGATGTAAGCGCCATAATGTGCATATTCTGTTGGGATAATATTATAAATTTTATGAATGATGAATGGAATCTTATTTATTTATGGACCATATTAGTTGCTTTCATGATCTGAATGGTTTGAAATTGTAATGCTTTGCAAGGTGGTTTTTGGGGCGTTACACGGACTCACAATTTTTTCTGGAACTTTTAGTGCAATTTAAACCTATTTAGAGGTCGATTTGAAAACTTTTTGTAAAATACACTATTGTACCCCTAGAAGTCTAGTGTCTACTAGGAAAACAAATACTTAAGCAAAACCACTTTACCAATCAATACTTAAAACAATTGGTAAATAGTTAGACAAAATAGAAAATAAAATTCATGACATAAAACCATCAACCAGTAAAAAATTAGAAAGATCTTTAATTTAGTTACCAAAAGAAAGAAGTAAACTTAGTGTATCGGTTAATAAACATAAAAGAATTCAAAAAATTGAGAAAATTCTAGAAAAATTAGAACAGACAAAAATTGAACCAGTAACACCTCAAGTTTCTACTATTTATTAGAATATCTCAAATTCTGTGTCAGAAACTAGTATATCACAAAATTCTACTGATTCTGATATTAGAGAATTAGAGCAGCAATTTTCTTGTCAAAATCTAAACAAATTAACCTTTCCTAAAGTTAATCCTACCAACATTACCAAAAATTGGTATACTAGACTGGCACCTCCTGTAAGACCCCATATTAAAATTAAATAAGGATACTATTATCTTAAGATTTCTCCTAATAGGAATAAAATGATGGTAGAAACTTGAAATCATTGTTAAAAGATTGCTTATGAATTTTGAGTTTCAAACGAATTGACTTTTGGGTCAAACTTAGTTTCGAAGGTGTGTGAGCTTAAGAAGGGTGATTATGTAAGTTTCTAAATGTTTTTAGGTCAAAATAATGCCTCCATTGAATCAAGAAGGTCAACAAACATTGGGAGAGGTAATATGGAGTGTATTAGAAGTTAGGAAGTATTTTGGAATTAAAACCTATTTTGGAGAGGATTTGGGTAAAAAGGAATTTGACACTACCTTAGTACTTTGACCATAACTTTTTAATCTTCAGTCCGATTGATCTGATTTTTAGAAAGTAGAAACTAAACTTCAAGGGTTACAAAAGTGTATTTCACGAAAATATTTTGAATTGGCTTCTAAATAGGTCAAAATCAATCTTGAAGTTGAGG